ACTAGAAGGCTCTCATTCCCCAAAATTTGAAAAGTCCTTTCCTACCCGCCTCACACAAGACCCCGTCCAAGTTTCACCCCCCCGTTCCATGTGCGGTTGTTAATAAAAAATACGTTTTTGTTCATTATTGTTTCCATCCTCTTCTTTTAGATGAGAGTCTGTCTGAAGGGGGGGAAGGGGCTTGGTCATTGGACAGGACAGTCACCTTTAGCAGGGGGCAGGTCCAGCAGCAGGGCACATATACAGTGCAGTGACTAGTTATCCTGGTCAGTCTGGGAGGTGGTTTTCATGTTCTGTGTGGTGGGGGGGGTGGTGTTGCTCTGTGACTTGGTGGCGGGGGAGGGCAGTTACAGTTCTTATGCAGCGGTCCTTACCCTGGATCACAGAGCCGCGCAGCAGGGGATCTGTAACCCTCCTCCCCCTGCAAGACAGTCACATAGCCGACACATACACGCAGTCCCGGCCAGGAGGGCTGGCAGGCTCCGTTGAAACAACCAGTCCACCACCGCGGAGCCTGTCATTCCTGGAGTTTAGAAGCATCATTTGCATCACAACACTAAACCCGCCCCCCGCCACAGTCTGCGTCCCAGGTTTAAAACATTCCCGCGAAAACAGTAATAAAGACAACGGTGTCCATTAACAAAACAGAACAGATTTTATTTTTTGGGAAGGGGGTGAAGGGGGTATGTAACTGGAGAGGATAGTCGACGGCAACTGGGTAAAGAAACGGGGGCAAGTTCAGCTTCTGTGTCCACAAACTTAAAAGTCACTGGGTACCCTGCTCAGCCTTGAAACTGGCTTTCAAAGCCTCCCGTATGCACAGCGCGTCCCGCTGGGCTCTTCTAATCGCCCGGCTGTCTGGCTGGGCGTAATCAGCAGCCAGGCTATTTGCCTCAACCTCCCACCCCGACATAAAGGTCTCCCCCTTGCTCTCACAGAGATTGTGGAGCACACAGCAAGCTGCAATAACGATGGGGATATTGGTTTCGCTGAGATCACAGCGAGTCAGTAAGCTTCTCCATCTCCCCTTGAGACGGCCAAAAGCACACTCCACCACCATTCTGCACTTGCTCAGCCGGTAGTTGAAGAGTTCTTGTGCAGTGTCCAGGGCCCCAGTATAGGGCTTCATGAGCCAGGGCATTAGCGGGTAGGCTGGGTCCCCGAGGATCACTGTAGGCATCTCCACATCTCCAACAGTTATCTTGTGGTCCGGGAAGTAAATGCCTTCCTGCAGCCGTCTAAACAGACCAGAGTTCCTGAACACGCGAGCGTCATGAACCTTGCCCGGCCATCCGACGTAGATGTTTGTAAACCGTCCCCGATGGTCCACCAGTGCTTGCAGCACCATTGAAAAGTAGCCCTTTCTATTGATGTACTGGCTGGCCTGGTGGCCCGGTCCCAGGATAGGGATGTGAGTCCCATCTATAGCCCCACCGCAGTTTGGGAATCCCATCGCAGCGAAGCCATCTATGATGGCCTGCGCGTTTCCCAGGGTCACTACCTTTGACAGCAGTACCTTGACGATTGCCTTGGCTACTTGCAGGACAACAACCCCCACGGTAGATTTGCCCACGCCAAAGTGGTTCGCGACTGACCGGTAGCTGTCCGGCGTTGCAAGCTTCCAGAGGGCTATGGCCACTTGCTTCTGGACAGTCAGGGCTGCTCGCATGCGGGTGTCCTTGCGCTTCAGGGCAGGGGACAGCAACTCACAAAGTTCGAGGGAAGTCCCCTTCCGCATGCGAAAGTTTCGCAGCCACTGGGATTCATCCCAGACCTGCAGCACTATGCGGTCCCACCAGTCCGTGCTTGTTTCCCGGGCCCAGAATCACCGTTCAACAAAATCCACATGCCCCATTGCCACAGTGATGTCCTGGGCGCTGGGGCTCGTGGTTTCTGACAGCTCTGTGCTACTCTCCGACTTCAGGCCCTCACGCCGGTGCCGTAGCCTCCTCGCCTGATTTCTCTGCATCTGCCTCAGGGAAAGGTGTATGATAAGCTGCGAGGTGTTGAGAACGGCCACAACTGCAGCGATGGTCGCAGCGGGATCCATGATCGCAGTGCTGTGGCGTCCGCGCTGTCACTGATCAAAAAGTGCGCGAACTGATTTCCCGCCGGCGCTTTCAGGGAGGGAGGGAGGGAGGGCGGTAGTGACTGACGGATGACGACAGTTACCCAAAAGCACCCTCGCCACATTTTTTTACCCAGAAGGCATTGGAGGATCGACCCAGAATTCCAATGGGCGGCGGGGACTGCGGGAACTGTGGGATAGCTGCCCACAGTGCACTGCTTCCAATGTCGACGCTTTCCCTGGTAGTGTGGACTGACAAAGTCGAATTACTGTCCTTAGTGTAGACACATACGTTCGACTTTCTAATATCGATTGCACATATTCGATTTAACTAAAATCGAACTACTCTCGTAGTGTAGACATACCCTTAGTCTTTAAGGTGCCACCAGACTCCTTGTTGTTTTTGTAGATACAGACTAACACGGCTACCCCCTGATACTTTGCTCACTATAACTGTGTGCACATGTAGGCATGGGCAGCAGGTGAACGCGCCCTTGGGGGAGGCTAGCTCCCGGCCCCTCCCCCTCTGCCCAGCTTCCTCTGCCCCTCCTCCCCCACTGGAGCCCGGAGCACACACCCCACACGCGGCTGCCTCCCCACACCTGGCCCCAGCGCCGGGAGGATGGGTGGCGTGGGTGGCCTCAGCCGGGGGGTCTTGTGCACACTGCGGCACCAGCCTGCCTGCTCCAGCCTCTCAGCCCCAGAAGGGAATGGCAGGCAGGAGAGAAGCTGGGGGTGGAGGGTGGGCGGGGCCATGCCAGGCTGTTTGGGGAGGCACAGCCTTCCCCTGCCTACGATACCCATCGCCCATACACGTAGGTATGTTTTCGGAGGTGAGGTGCTCATGACACAGGCCAAAGGGAAATGACATGTCCAGCTCCTTCTGATGTTCACAGGGCCATGGCACCTGGGGTGACCCAGAGTTATTTTGTCACTCAGTCAATCAAGGGCCAATTCCTTATTTGGACAGTAAGTAATTAATAACGCATTAATTATTAACGTAACCAGTTATACAATCCAATCACATGTTTGGTGACATTTATGTAATCTTACACTGATGAACTTTTACAACATTTTGGCCTCTGAATAAGGCACTAGGAATGAGGAACCAGTTCCAGCCTCAGATGGAAGCAGCCCCACAAGCTGCTCAGGACCAGGAGGCACTGATCTCCTGTCCCCGTGCCATTGGGACAGACTCGGGGCCTGGCTCGAGCCAGCGCGGGGAGAATGATCCGGAGAGCATTGTCCCAGGGGATGGATGAGGTGCCCTGACAGTCTGTTACCAGCCCTCATGCTGAGACCCTTTCTGCTGGATCACTCCCACGCAGGGCTCAGCAAAAGCAGAACTCTTGGCTCTGAGAGGGGTGGCTAATCTCTGTGGCACTGAATGAGGACTGGAAATGAATCAGTATGAGAAAAATTAGTCAGCAGCTTCCCATAAGCTTTAAAATAGCCATTAGGCCGTATGCTTCAGTTCACTGCACATATAAGGGGACACCTGGCCAGGCAGCCTGCAGCCCTGGGGGAGGGCAGAACGTGACAATTCTCGAGGTACCCAGGACTGCGAGTCAGCCTCTAGCAAGAGCCTTGCCGTGGTGGCTGGGTACTAGCCACTTCACACCACCAGCCTGTTGGCCACTCCAGCACTCTCCTCCGGGCTGTGCCAGCCCTGCCTTCACCTTGCAGGGTAACAAGAGGTGCCCCCCAGGAGCCTCCACAATTCAGCTACTTTCGCCCCTTCCTCTCCCCCACCTCCAGCAGGTACAATGGCTGCCTCCCCGCCTCCAGCAGGTGCGACTGCTTCCCCCCACCCCTGCCTCCAGCAGGCACGACTGGCCCCCCACCCCCGCTTCCAGCAGGTTTGACTGGCCCCCCACCCCTGCCTCCAGCAGGCATGACCGCTGACCCCCCACAGGTGGCTCCATCCTGGAAGCCTGGGGGTTCTATGTCAGCTATCTCCCCGCTCAGAACAAGACTTTTGTTACAGTTGCTGGTGTCTAGGCCAAGTCAGGTTGGTACCCAGGTCCCGGGAGCCGGCATCGTTTGCAGTGGGGTCCCTCAAGCCCTGAGCCACAGAAGGCATGGTGCTCCCATGGCCTTGCTGTCTACAGTGACCCCGCCCTTGGGTGGGGCAGTCTCTGGAAGGCGTTCTCCATGCTCGCCGTTTCTCTGGCTCAGGAAGTGCCGCCTCGGCCCCCAGCTACCGTGCTCGCAGCCACGGCCCCAGTGTCGCCCGTTAATGTGGACGTCCCTCTTTCCGGAGGGGAAAGGCTCACGAGAGCACAGTCACTGCCCACAGGGAGACCTTCTGACTCTTGCTCTGCACACACCTCCTTCCCAGCCCTCCTCAGTCCTGCTGCTGGCTGGAGGGGTCCCCTGCCCCACCAAGGAGCATGCTCCCTGGCCTGGACTGCACAGGCCTGTGCAGCCGCTCCCCTCCTGATCGGCCTGGTGGCTGTCCTCCACCAGTAATAGCTCATTAGCCAACAGGCTCTGGCTGTCTAGGGTGGGAACTGATGCGGGCCCAGTACTGTCATACCTGGGAACATCACAGTCTTTATTGTTTGTCCTTCCGGGGGCGCAACAGAGCTCTTAACCCACTGTACTGATGGGGAGCTGAGGCCCAGAGAGACTAAGGTCCAGAACCCCAGAGGTAACTAGGCACCTGATTTCCACTGAAATCAATGGGAGTTAGGCACCTAAGCACTTTGGAGGCTCTGGGCCGCACTGCCTTGCCCAGGGTCTCACAGCAGGAGAGGGCCATCCTTCCATCCTTCCTCTCCGGCTGGGGCCCTTCTCCAAGGTGTGGTGCTTCCTGGGGAGCGAGGGCCTTGCTGGGGGACAGTGAGGTTCCACCCCGGAGACGGGCTGAGTGACTGCAGCGCTGTCAGTGATGGCTGACTCACTAAACCGCCCCCATGTTCCCCTGCAGGGTCTGTGTACGAGGTGAGCGGCAGCGAGTGCTGCTTATCAACAGGGGACCTGATGAAAATTACTGGCCTTCGCCTGCAGAAGGTCACCTGCGAGGATCCAGAGACCGGGCTAGCAACAGAGCTGCCTCTGAACTTCAAAGGTAAACTGGGACACCCCACGCCCACCCAGCCTACTGCAGGTAGGCACCCGCCCACCACACACAGACACACCCCATCCTCCCCCTCACACAACCATCCACCACCCCCTCATATACACACTCCCACCACTACCTCCAGGCCATCCGCACCCCAGCCATACACACACACACAAATACACACACACACATCACTGCCTCCAGGCTATCCACACTCCCAGCTCCCCCCTACACACAAACACACATACACACAACCCCTACTACCTCCAGGCCATCCGCACCCCAGCCATATACACACACACACACACCAGCCCTCCCCTCTCCCCCAAAACACTGCCTCCAAGCTTCATCCACCAGGTCCCTCACACATAAACATCCCCAACACTACCTCCAGCCATCCGTACACACACACACAAACACAAATGTACACACACACACACACACACACACACACCACTACCTACAGGCCATTCGCATCCCAGCCATACACAAACATACACACACACACACACACACACACCAGCCTCCTCACATACCCCCACCCCCGCCATTACCTACCGGCCATCCTCATCCCAGCCATAAACACACACACACACACAGTCTCACCATCCCCACACCACCAACATATATAGGCCACACACGTACCCTGCCATGACATATAGGCTTCACCCCCCCACACTCCCCTGCCACGTATAACCAAACAGAGCCTGCCCACCACAAACAGGCCCTGCTAGGGTTGCCAACGTTCTGATTGCAGAAAACTGAACACGCTTGTCTAGGGTTGCCAGGTGTCCGGTCGAAAGGGACCCTGGGGCATAGATGCTGGTGCTCGGGGTGGGGGCAGTGCGCGGAGCCTCCCTGGCCACAGAGACATGGCGGCTGCTTCCGGGAGCCACGCAGAGCCAGGTAGGGAGCCTGCCTCAGCCCCGCTGCGCTGTCGACTGGACTTTCAATGGCCCGGTCAGCAGCCTCCAGGTTCCCTTTTCGACCGGGTGTTCCAGTCGAAAACCGGATATCTGGCAACCCTAGCCCCACACACATGCCCCAGCCACACACACCCTGGCCACCACATGCAGGCCACACACCCCACCTCACCCAGTGGCCCTGCACAGGCCACACACACACACACCCAGCCACATACACACATGCCCATCACCTCCAGGCCACATCCCCACTCTGGCTGCATTTGCTGAGGCGGGCGTGGCTAATCCCCAGCCCTGCTGCTGTTGTGGGGTGGGTGGTGGGGTGGGGCAGCCCCTCATGCAGGCGCTGCTGAGATCTGTGCATGGCTGAGGCTTGTGTACAGATGAGGCTCCATTGAGGCTCCTCATTCCTGGGGTCCCTGGTTCAGGGTTGCCTGGCCAGGTTTTCCCAGGACCGTCCCTTTGTTGAGGTAGCTGTCCTGGAAGGCCTGCCTGGGTTCCAGTGCACACGGCCAACTGTCCAGTGTGATGGGCTCAGGATCATCCCAGACGCGGCAACCCTACCTGCCCCACTAACGGTGAGCTTCCTCTGGCCCTCCTGCAGGGCATTTCCAGCCCAGCCGAGACAAGCTGTCATACACGAGCCTGAAGAAGCTTGCCAGGACCAGGCCAGCAGGGCTCCAGAACATGCCCTTCTCCTTCACCTCAGCAGTTGACTTGACCGTGGATGGGCAGGTCATTCCCAAGGGCCAGCCCATTTCCCTGCTTTCGGTGACCAGGCATGAGGGCCAGGAGTTTGCCAACTGTACAACCACGGGGCAGGATGGGCAGCATTTGCTCTGCCTCCCCTTCTCCCTCCAGGGTCAGTTCTATGAGTGCAGCGGGCAGCAGAGCTACACGCTGAGCCAGGTGCTGCAGTTGGAAGCCCTGAGGGGCCAGTACCTGAAATGCTCTGCACTCGGCAGGCACTCACTGCTCCTCTGCCCCGTGTACGAAGTGCAGGCGATAATGCACAGTGAGTACGGATGCAGCCGGGGCTGCTGGGTGTGTGTGTGTGTGTGTGTGAGAGAGAGCTGGATGGAGTGGTGTGTGTATGGCTCCGTGCCTCTGGGTTAGTTTATGGGGGAGGTGTGTCCTGGAGTCTCTGTGTGTGCTAGGGTGACCACCCATCCCTTCTTTTAAGGGGCAGCCCCTTATTTCATTGATTTATCCCTTAAGGGAACCACTCAGCCCTTATTGTAAAATGTACTGAAATGTACTAAAACAGATCATTAGTACGTTTTAAACTTTAAGTTGAAGCTTACGATAATTGAATTGTACACTTGAGAGAACAATCCATGCTATGCGAAGGGAAATGGTGTTTCCCTAAAATGTCCCTTAATGTCCCTTAAAGTTGTGGTTTTTCCTTAGTTCCATTCAACAAAGGTGGTCCCCCTAGCGTGTGCCTATCTCAATGTGTGTGTTGCTGTCTCTGTGTGACTTTGTTGGGGAAGAACTTTCCTTTCAATGAACTGAGGCATTTATTTAAATCATTAACTGAAGCTATTAAGAACCCAAATAATCCACATCAGACAATTTAAGCTAGTGGGCCAGATTGGATAACAAAGATACTTTTCCAAGCACCTATGTGAGTAACCAAAATGGGATGCTGCTGCTCACAGTAAACTGTGCAGATCTTCAAAATATGATGGTGTTGCCCCTGGGTTCCTTGGCCCTGGCTCACCTTGATGGGGCTCCTTGGGCTCAGCTCCTTCTTGACTGGGGGGCGGGATAAGTAATGGCATCTCCCAAGCGCCACCCATGTAAGGCATCAAACCGAGCAGTCACAGTGAATTGTACAAACCTGCCCCACCCCACACTCTCCTTTTTCACGAGCAATGGAATGGTAACAATGCTGATATTTACATGGGAACCTAGGAACTGCCAGCCTGGATTCATAGATTCCCACATTCCAAGGCCAGAGGGGGCCATGTGATCATCTAGTCTGACCTCCTGTATAACACAAGCCAGAAACCTGCCCCCAAATAATCCTTAGAGCAGAGCTTTTTAAAAAAAATCCAATCCTGATTTTAAAATTGTCAGTGATGGAGAATCCACCATGACCCGTGGTAAATTGTTCCAATGGCAAATTGCTCTCACTGGTAAAAATTTACACCTTATTTCCACTCTGAATTTGTCAGGCTTCAACTTCCAGCCATTGTTATGTTACACCTTTCTCTGCTTGTTTGTGTGGCCTACATTCTTTGTTCCCGGATGTATACATTTATATTTAGCCATATTAAAACATACATTGTTTGCTTGCCCCCAGCTTACCAAGTGATCCAAATCACTATGTGTCAGTGACCTGTTCTCTTCATTATTTACCACTCCCCCAATTTTTGTGTCATCTGCACACTTTGTCAGTGATTTTATGTTTTCTTCCAGGTCATTGATAAAAATGTTAAATAGAGTAGGGCCAAGAACCAGTCTCCCTGAGACCACACTAGAAATATACCGTTCGATGACAATTCCCTGTTTACAATTACATTTTGAGACTTATCAGTTAGCCAGCTTTTAGTCCATTTAATGCGCACCGTGTTAATTTTATATCTTTCTAGTTTTTTAATCAAAATATTGTATGGTACCAAGTCAAATGCCTTACAGAAGTCTAAGTATATTTCATCAGTACGTGTAATCTCATCAAAATAATACAGTATATCACGTTAGCTTGATAGGATCTACTTTCCATAAACCATGTTGATAGGCATTAATTATATTACCCTCCTTTAATTCTTTATGAATCAAGTTCCATATCAGCTGTTCCATTATCTTGCCCAGGATCAAGATCAGCCAGACAGGCCTATAAGTACCGAGCTCATCCCCTTTTCCCTTTTTAAATATTGGCACAACATTAGCTTCCTTCCAGTCTTCAGAAACTTTCCCAGTGCTCCAAGACTTATTGAAAATCAACAATAATCGTCCAGCAAGCTCCTCAGTCCGCTCTTTTAAAATTCTTGGATGCAAGTTATCCAGACCTGCTGATTTAAAAATGTCTAACTTTAGTCACTGCTATTTAACACCTTCCTGAGATATTAGTGGAATGGAAAGAGTGTTATCATTATCATCATATGATATGCCTGCATCATCTATTTTCCCCTAAATACAGAACAGAAATATTTATTGATTACTTCTGCTTTTTCTGCAATATTATTGATAATTCTACCATCACCATCTAGTAATGAACCAATACCATTGTTTGCATTCTTTTTGTTCCTAATATACACCTCTACCCCGATATAACGCTGTCCTCGGGAGCCAAAAAATCTTACCGCGTTAGAGGTGAAACCGTGTTATATCGAACTTGCTTTGATCTGCCGGAGTGCGCAGCCCCGCCCTCCTGGAGTGCTGCTTTACTGCGTTATATCCGAATTCATGTTATATCGGGTCGCGTTATATCGGGGTAGAGGGGTACTTTAAAAAAATCTCATTCTTATTGTCCCTAACTCTGCTGGCCATAGATTTCGCCTTGTGTCACTTTGCTTCCCTTTTCTATTTTATACAATTCCTAGCTTCTGATTTATATTCATTACTATCAACTTCCCCTTTCTTCCATTTTTTGTATATTATATTATTATTATTATTATTATTATTATTATTTTGTATAACTGCCTTCACTTCCCCTTTAAACCAGGTTGTTTTTTTAACCAATATGGTCTTCTTCCTTAGTTGTGGGATTTTGGCTTTTTGGGCATGTAGAAAAGTGTTCTTAAACAATTTCCAATTATCATTCACATTTTTCTGATAAAATTTTTCCTCCCAACTGAGGAACCCAACATCAGACCAAACATACAATAATCTCACCTCCAAGGGTGGCCAGCACCAGATGCTTCCAAGAAAGGCATAAGAATTCCACAGTAGCCAAAGTGATATAATCTGTGCCGTCTCTCCCAGGTCTCACATGGTCTGTAATAGTTAGAGATTGCTTAAATCCTGAAGCACAAGGTTTAATGTCCCAGTTCTGTGTATCCCTAGCCTGTTCTAATATTCCAACACTTTTTTTAGTATTGAAATAACTGGATATTCTTGGTCTCCATATAACTATCCAACCCCTTTTTGAATCTTGTTAAATTCTTCACCTCAGCAACTTCTTGGGACAATGAGTTCCACATCTTAAATGATCATCGATGGATGCCTGTGGTAATCCCTCACTGATTTGAGTGGGGTTCTTCACACTTCTCCAAGCTGTTTTCTCAGAGTACATCTACACTACAGGGGGGAGTCGATTTAAGATACGCAAATTCAGCTACGTGAATAGCGTAGCTGAATTCGACGTATCACAGCCGACTTACCCCGTTGTGAGGACGGCGGCAAAATCGACTTCTGCGGCTTTTTGTCGGCGGCGCTTACTACCACCTCCGCTGGTGGAGTTAGAGCGCCGATTCGGGGATCGATTGTCGCGTCCCGACGGGACGCGATAAATCGATCCCCGAGAGGTCGATTTCTACCCGCCGATTCAGGCGGGTAGTATAGACCAGACCTCAGGCTCTCTGCAGACTCAGCTCTGCATTCGTTACAGTTGGTTCATGTTTCTGAGCTTGTCTTCACAATCATAACAGCTACAGACTTTTCTTAAAGCTGAAAGCTCAGATTCTGGAGCACAGAACACTTCTGAGCGGTGCCAGTACCGTGCTTGGCTGTGCACCAGCCGCTTCTGGGCCCTGAGCTGAGCAGCCATAAGTCTCACTCCTTACAAAACTGGCTAGCACAATAGGAATTAGGGATTCCTATTAGACCTATGAGCCCCCATCTTCTTCATGGCCCAGGTGCACACACCACAAGTCATAGGAGGTGGAACGTTCAGCTATGGACAGGGCTTGGAAACATCTGGCACGCACCCATTTGCCAAAATGGCACTGCTCTGTTCCAGGCGATCTGCTCCTCCAATCTCTCTTACAGGTATAGGGTAGTTTGAATAGTGCCAACCTCAAGTGATCAAAAATCATGAGTCACACCCAAAATTCATGAGATTTTAAAAAAAGATTATATTATGTGTTTTGGTATGTCTTCTGGGTGCCAAATTCCCCCTGCCCAGCCA